AATGTTAATGATAGTGGTAAGTGGATTTACTAGCACTTCTGCATATCCTTCAAGGAAATATGATGGGATTCCATCTACGCCGGATGACGCTTTTGGTTTCAAGCATTTTATTGCATCCATTACTTCATGCTCCTTTATTTCAACTATGTTCAGGTTCTCTAAATGGAGATCGATCATGTACTCCATATTTGATGGTTCTTGATTATCATTATACACTGATTTGAAAAAATTTGCAGAAGCATTTGCTATAGAACTGTCATTTTCAAAACATTGATTATTGTATCTATAACTTTGTGATATTCCCTCGTTCTTCTTTTTGCCCTTTACGTAGGACCAAAACTCTTTTGGATTATTTTGTAGATTATTTTCTATGTTCTGCAGATATTCTTTTTTGCAATCTTTGATGAGCATTTTTACATGTTTCCTAAGAGATTGATATTTATCTATATATTTTGCTTGATGGATACCCAAATGTTTAGCTTTCTTGTAGTACTTATTTTTTTCTTTAATTTTCAGTCTGAGTTCTTGACTATACCAAAAAGGAAATTTTTCCATGTTACTAAATGACTTCTTTTTTGGCAAACATTCATCAAAAATATTATTGAGAGTGTCATAAAAACTATCTACTGCTTCATCTGGGTTCTGCAAGTTACGTGAGTTCTCCCATTTACACTGATTTAGCATGTGATACATCTTAATAAAATCCCCTTTCTTAAAGTTATAGTTTGGGATACCAGTTTCCGTTTCCCATGTATGTATCTGAGTGTTTTCAAATGAGAAAGTAATGTCCAAAGGTGGATGATTCAGATCAACAACCTCAATTAGACTTAGCTCAGTTTTAAGCACTCTAGTATCCACCATATTAGTCAATACCAGATCTAGAGTTGTATTATTCATGTTGAACACATTGTTCACTGAAAAGAGATCAAAATGAGACATTAAATGTCCTATCAATTGGGCTTTTGAGGAGCCATTATCAAAATCGAAAGATGTGCTGTTTATCTCAGGCAAGTTGAAATCTCCAATAAAGTACATGTAATCATAGTCATCTAGGCCATCCATACTTATCACAGATTCTACAAACAAGTTATAGCAATTTAAGCTTGAATTTGGGGGAATGTAAACACAAAATAGGACAATAGTAAAATTCTTGACTTTCACACTTATACTGATCCAGTCAAGAAATGGACTGGAACTCATCGAGACTAATGTTGATGAAAACACTTTATTCACCAGTAACATCACTCCGCCTCCTCTCTGGACCTCTAGTTCTTCATACTTTCTGTCACAGCGATAGATTGTGTATTTCCCATCACATAATTCTTCATTATAAAAGGAATCGTTAAGCCATGTCTCACTTATAGCAATTATATCAGCATTATGGGTAGTAACATTATCATAGAAGTCCGATATTTTGGTATGAAGACCTCGCACATTCTGATATATCATAATCAGTTGATGAAGTTCATGATGTTTAGGAGTCTCATGTGCATTTAGACAATAGGATCCACCAGGATTTGAGGTGCCATCCTTCGTTTCATTAAAAAATGAGACACTAGTGCTCCACATGGCCACACATCACTCCTCCATGCTTTCTTCATGTTTTCTTTCTTTATTGTTACCTTCATAGAAGTATAGAGTTCTGGACGTTTTGATTCATGTTTTTCACAAATTACTTCTGGGAAATCTGATCGAAGCATTTGCTGTAACTCTTCTGGTTCTGTGCCAGGTCGGAGCCTAGTCACATGTAAGGAAATTAGTTTAGGAACTGTGCCGATAGTTGTGTTTTCGACATTTTTCCCAACAACAAACCTTCTTTTACTTCTATAATTGACTTTGCGCCAGTCATCGCCATTATCTTTAACAAGATTTTCATCTTGTTTTTGGTTATCCAGCTCCTGCAGCTCTTGAACTACACTTATAGCTTTAGCTTGATGGATTGCTGCATTTACTTGTTTCAGATCAAAAGTTGTGTTTACTTTTTGATTATTATTTATATTCTTCCTTTTGTCAACATTTGGATTATTGACACTATTGACATTGGCAGTGACATTTTTATTGATAACATTGTCACTGACATTTGGCATATTTTTATTGGCAGACCTGTGTTCCGTGGAATCAAGGTTATCTTTATCAATTTTTCTGATTATCTGTTTACTATTACCAGGCACCTGCGGACTTTTGGGATGACCTTCACGGTCCCCGGCCCTGGCACAAAAAATGGTTTCTTTTTCTTTACCTTTGCTTTGATGGCCATTATCTGTGCCTGTTTTTTTGTGCTCGTTTAGTTTCTCATTGAGTAATTCAATTTTTTCGTGGAGCAACTTACAGTTTTCCATGAGGATCTCATTTTTCGTCTCTAATTCTTGGACCAATTGTCTCAAAAGTTTGTTTTCCGCTCTTGCAATGCTTGAAAAATCATTGGAAACACTTGGCACATTTGATATCGTCAGATCATCACTTCCTATTCCATTAATGTCTTTCTCTTCATGTTTACAAACTGCGGTTTTTGCTACACCGGATTGTATCATACACTTTGGGTGAAAAAACTCACTACATTTCCTACACTGAACGTAATTAACTACGGTTTTTTTGCAATGTTTGCAATCATTTTTAATTAGGACATGAGGCGACGACAAACCACCAGTCGCCGCCATCTTGAATTTGATTGATCTCAATAAATATTTGGCAGGAAATTCATCCTCGAGAATTTCGAATGATTTCATTAATTTTTTCGAAAAATTATCGATTTTTCTTTCAATGATAGATTGACATGACTGATAGGTATATCACTTCATACACTCATACCTCATAGTCTCATATCGCCTTTTCATAGAGCCTCCTGTGTAGCTCTGATTTTTCAAGGTAAAGTGCCACTTATACGCCCGGTCGTGCTTAAAAAATATATATAACTCTAAATCAGAAATTTGATGCAAATAGACAGTAGTGAATAATTTCTGCCTGGAGCTTTGTAGCATATTGTAGGTAGGTATGACAGATGAGCTTAATAATATATGTGCTCTGATACGCTATGGAGTTTGTTGTGTCGGCCTGAAATTTATCATAAGCAAGTAGTAGTAGTAGTAGGTGGGGAGGCTGTATCCAATCAAGTAGGCCCCGATGGGCCCTTTTTGCTAACCCCTGCTCTCCACATATCTACGCTTCCTTCACCTAGATTTCTTTTACGAATCTCTCTGACCTTCTGATGAAGTCCAGTATGTCCGTCCACTCTAATATAATCAAGTCCTGTTGTAGTTTGTCTACTCCAAAGATTTCAAATCTCAGCCTTTCGTACGCCTCACACTCGCCGAGAAAATGGAGTGACGTTTCCTCGTCTTCCCCGCACCTGCAGCAAGTGGGGTTGTCCTCTATTCCCATAAGTGATAGGTGTCTGCCTAGCCTGTTGTGTTCTGTGAGTACTCCTATGAGGAGGCGGAGTACTTGGAGGTCTCTGCTCAGCAGCCACTCCTTCCTTGATTTGCTTGGACCGGCCATGAATTCCTTGGCCTGCCTGCAGCCTGTGATATTCCTCCAGTATTCTCCTAGTGCCTTGTCCGCCCATTCATCGAGGGTTGACGTAATTTGGCTCCTTGCTATAACTAGTTCAGGCTCCGATCCCAGAAACGGTTCCGCGGATCCGGCCCTAGCAGGTTCGTCTGCTGTTTCGATTCCGGGCACCCCACTATGACCCGGGACCCATACCAGTTCAACTTCCTTTGATTCGGCTAATATCTCAAGGGCATTTCCACATTCCTGTACCAATGCTGAGCTTGGTCTGGGATGACAGATAGCCTTGAGTGCTGCCTGACTGTCCGAACAGATGTAGATCTTCTGTTCTGGTCCATCTTTCACCTCTTGCCTCTCTGCTACGACCAGGATGGCGAACACCTCAGCTTGGAAAACTGTGGTGTATTCTCCCAGAGCGTAGCTTTCTCGTATGTTTCTTCCTTCTTCCCTGCGCCCGTTTGTCAGTCAGACGGGATCCGTCTGTGTAACATACTAAGCTTCCTGGGCGAAACTCCACTGAATTGTTTCTCCATTCTTCTCTGCTTGGAATAGTAGAACTTCCTATTCCTTCTCAACCTGTCCTGCACTTTATTCACTATGAGTAGAGATAGGAATCTCCTGCTCCACCCACTCTGCTATTTTTGCATGTCCTGTTATTGTCCCTTCACTTTCCCAGTTTCCTGAGTTCCGCATTCTTAGGTGGGCCACCATCGCCTCCTTCTTTATCCAGATTTGTAGCGGTGGTAGCCCCAGCAGCATTACTTCTAATGCTGCCGTTGGCATCGTCCTCAATGCACCTGTTATTGCTGGGCATGTCATCCTCTGGACCTTACCTAGGTTCCGACCTATCGTACTGGTTTCTGCACCCGGCCACCACACTGCCGACCCATAATGGATCTTTGGTCTTACGACTGCTGTGTACAGCCATCGCCTAATCTCGGGGTTGATGCCCCAAGTTTTTCCTATAACTCTCCTCAGTTGCCATAGGATAGCCACCGACTTTTGCACAACCCTATCCGAATGCGGTCTCCATGCAAGTCTGGAGTCCAGAACCACAACTCTTGGCCAAACATGGTGGGTGACTTGAACCCATCCCTTTTCCTCCGTTTGGTGAACAGGATATCATAAACATACTATAGTGCGTTTCAGAGCACTATATCGGATGTGCTGCGATGGTCAATCATCATTGATTAGCCAATATAGAATACAGAAAGTACGGAGGAAAATAATGTTAGAATTGATGAATGCTGATTGAAACATCCAGTATGACCGACGATACGTAGATTGATCAAGATCGCAAGTTTGACAAGAAGTTATATAAAAATATTGTGATTGCTGTCGCGCGTTGAAGTTTATTGAAGTTCATATCGTTCAGATATTCTTGCGAATTAATGAATCTGTTCCACCTATCACTGGTATTCTCTTGTGTGCATGCTCTTGCCCAACAGATGAAATTTTACATAAATTGGTAGTATCTAAAATGGTATACTTACATTTAAATTCGAGATATTTTTCAAATCCGGTATAAGCATTCCTGAAATACAATATTTTCCCAATATTCTGGTGCCATTATCGTGATGATTAATAGTCATACATTCATCATAATTTCCCATCACCGTCCTAGTAGCATAGTCCATTCCGGGGTATGGAAATTTTGCAGACGCGTCCCACACTAAAATAATATAAAGAGTTTAGTTGAATAGAATGGCGACCGTTGAATATGATTTCTGGTGCTGAGTTAGCGGCAATTCGGTCGAAATGTTGAAGAAAACCAATTGGTTAATTGTCGACGTTTCGAAACTAACTGTTTCATCGCCAGGACACTGAAGTGAAAAAATAAGAACATACATATTAAAATGATATTTTGAAATGAGGGGTTCTGATGAAAACAAAATAAATTATATAAATTAACAATCGTTGAAAATAAAGCACACTTCTAACACTTTACAGAAAACAACATTGATAGGTTCTTATATTTAGGGTGGCTTCCCGGGTTTAAAAATAAAATCGATATATGCAAAGAAAGCTCGTGAAAGAAAATATGAGGTGTGTAAATTCTCAATCTTTTGTTGACACATTTTGTTCCATGTTTTGTTATTTCAATCATTTCATTAAATAATCCGTGTGGTGGAAATATTTCTACCTGCATTTTACCTGTATATACAGATCAGGTTTATTCGATTTTCGAAGATGTTCGAATTGTAGTTTCAATATAAATACAACCACAGACTACAGAGTGACCCATTTGTGTATTAACTCTATTGAATCGATGAATTAATTTGGACCAGGTGTCAGGGCTAATATATATAATATATATAATAATAGCAAATAACGACGTGTCTCGTTGTTTGTTTGTGGAATTATTTCGTTCGATAGTTGTCGAGAGTGTTGTACAGGACGATTCAATAAGGGTGACGAGATATAGGTACTGTCTCAGAAACTAGTAACTTAACTAACAAGGTCTGGTTCAAGAAAGGAAGCAGGTTTGGTGAATTAAATGAAAAAAAAACAAGCCATGCCATTCTGGTTGTCACCGCCCTTGCGTGTTTTATAAACTATCAAGTATAGTTCCTGAGATCCAGTACCTCGGCCTGAATGTGTCTCAAAATTTACATAATCGAAACGTCTAAAATATTTTAGACGATGCGGCGTTCCCGCTTCAACAAGGTAGTATCAGAAAGTTTGATATTTCAAATGGAACACCCTGTATTTCATTACATTTTCAGATTTTTCCTGAAGAGCTGATTTCATCCGTTCAACACACTTGGGGTCTAGCGGGAATGATTACAGAGATATAGGGTGTTCAAAATCGATATTATTAACTTCAGAATTTGTTGTGTCGAAACATTTCATAATTGGCCGAAACGGCTCTCCTGTCCCTATCTTACCTTTTGATTTATTATAGGGATATGGAAGCCGTTTCGGAAAAAAGTGAATAGTTTCGAGAGAAAAAACCTGAAGTAAGAAAATGATCAATTGATAAAATCAGCTCTGCAGGGAAAATTTGAAAATGCAATGAAATATCATTTATTTGAAAAATCAAAGTGGCTGCTACTTTCTAGTAGAAGTGGCAGCACCGCATCGTTTCAAAATATTTAAAACGTGTAGATCATGTCAATTTAAACATTCCATCAAATTTTCCTTGCAAAACTTTCATAACCCATATAACACGAGTACGTCCCCAAAACGTACTGAGGACTTCCGGCCAAGACGTTTCGTACGTACTGGGAACGTCCAGATTAGGACCGTAGACGTACTAGGTACGTACTGGGGACGTCCAGATTCCGCGCATTTGTACATCCCCCGTACGTACATTAAAGACCATGGATAGTTAAGAAAAAGATAGTTAAAAAAAGATTAGAAAAATCTTATTTTGAATTAAAAATGTAAATATGATGCGCTCCTCCCGGGAGTAGATCCCGCGACCTTTAGATTACCGGGCAAATGTATTATATCAAAGATGTTTCTTTCATCTCGATATTATACAGGGTGTATCTACATAACACCGAAAAAAATTTTAGGGGTGATTCTAGGAAATGAAGTCCATATAAGCATGTGTCCTAACTTGCTCCATTTTTGAGATACAGGATGATTTGGAAGTAATAATCATTTTTATTTATAACCCCCCTGTATAAGCTTTCATGGTGCCAAAATTCAGTATGGTTGAATACTGAGAAAGTCCCAAAATTTCACAATGATTCTAATCGGGGTTATTGAGTAATCTCAATGGAAGTCCTTGAAAACACGCCTATACCGGCTGACACAGGTTATCGGGCCACCCCTGTAACTTCTGCATTCGTCAACAGATTTTTCTGAAATTACAGTTATATAAGCAACTATTTCGGATTTGATCACATTGCAATCCAATATGGCGGATTTCCGGTTTTTCTGGAAATGCCAGCAATTTTGTTTTTTCAAATGGAACACCCTGTATATTTTAACATATTCAAGTTTAACAGGTCAAAACAAGTGCAATCTTGATGTCTAATGTCATTTATTCCACAGCTTACCTAGTTGAAAAATTATTCTAACTGCAAGGAAATTCATGAACTAGTTGTTGATTTTTGAATGTATACAATTTGTTACTGCACCGAAAAACAAAAATGATATGTCATCTTGTTCCTTAATGTATGTTTTCGAGAGAAGGGTAGGTGGCCCATAGGGGTTCCATTTGAAAAAAAATTATTTTTGATCAAAAAGTGATGTGGCTGAATTGATTCCTGGATAAGTGACACAAAAATAATTTTTCAGAAAAAAATATGTTCTCCTGTTATGTGTGACTCATTGTGAATAGTCTTCACCACATCTCATTTATCCACGAGGTATAATGAAACAACAATTTTAATTTAAATTTTTTCGAAAAAATGACATTTGAAATAAAGATTGCACTTGTTTCGACCTGTTGAACTTGAATATGTAAAAATATGCAGGGTGTTTCATTTGAAAAAACAAAGTTGCTGGCATTTCCAGAAATACCAGAAGTCCGCCATATTGGATTGTAATGTGATCTAATCCAAAATCATTGCTTATATAACTGTACCGAATTTCAGAAAAATCCGTTGACGAATGCAGAAGTTACAGGGGTGGCCCGATACCCTGTGTCACCCGGTACCTATACTCAAAATTTGGAGTCAAATCGAGTTTCTATTGTTTCCTTAAAAATTAAGCTAGATACAGAAATTACACAGGGAATAAAGAAGTTGTCATTCAAATAGTTCAATCTAATAAAAATATTAAACTAAGAAAAACCAGTCGCGTACAATGACATTCACTATAAATATCGATAAATTTACCCCCTGTGACGCCACTGGGAGTATTATTCCGAATCTAATTGCACCAGACGAAGGCTCATATTACTTTTAACGAATCCACAACGTTTTATTAGAATTTGAATTGATGAAAAGACAACTGAGTAATGAATAAAAAAACGATTTTCCATGGAAATATTAATACACTGTAACTCGAAAACGAAGCAAGAGGGCACATGTTTATATGAACTGTATTTCCCCAAATATTACAATCACCCCTTGAATTTATTCAGTGTTATTTAGATACACCCTGTATAACAACATATAGTTAAAATGGAATCTATATATAAGGTATTCCTTAATGTCATGCTAATATTCAAGGGGTCGATTCTTGGACCCATTTCAAGAATAAAACTTCATATTGACGTATGTCGTAAACATCCTAACTTTTGAGATACAGTGTATCAAAGAGTAGATTTTTTTTGTCCACCCTGTATAGCTTTTCCTGATGGCATTCATTCTGCTATGTGACTGAAACGATGTGAAAATTTCAAAATGTTACTTACTGTGGTTAACCAGTAATGGATTTCCTGAATGGAGTACTCAAGCTACATTTACATCAAAATTTGAAGTTCTCGTTTTTTCGTTTTTTCTTGAAAACGGAGCGTCCTATCGGGTATCAACACAAGGATCTTTTTTGTACAAAATTGAATGACTTTTGATAGCACCTTATTTAATTTGGAAATATTCCTTCGTTGCTCACTTTCAAGTATAGTATAATCAATCATATACCCCTAACGGCGCCACTGGTAGAGAAAAGAAAAATTTGTATGCATCAAAAAATGCACCTTGATGCAAAGAAGATATGTAATAATAATAATAATAATAATCATTTATTGTCCTTCGGATAATACAAGTATTATATAGGAATAGTCAATGTCAAAGTCAAAAGACTCATGAGGAGAAAAATTCTCCTACACTATGAAAGCATTTTTCAAGTAAGAAACATCTTAGTTTTCGTTTGAACAAGGAAATGGATACAATATTTTTTAAAACATCAGGTAGATGGTTAAATATTTTTGGTCCTATATGGTTTGGAGCAACAGAAGTTATTTTATATTTGGCATATGGTATATGAAATAAGTTTTTACTTCTAGTATTGATATCGTGAATATTCTTATTCTATGAAATTATGTTTGTTTTGAAATACATATACACATGTTTCGAAAATTAAAATGCATGGCAATGGTAGAATGCCATACTGAACAAACAGATTCTTGCATGATTGCCTCTTTGACACCCCACCTATACAGCGAATAATACGTTTTTGGGTGATGAACACATTTTTTGCCATTGTGGAGTGGCCCCAAAGACACACACCATACCTCAGTCCGGAATCCACCTGAGCGTGATATAAAGTCAATAACTGATTCTTTTCAAGCACAAAACGTAGATTCATGAAAAGATATGTTAGGGAGCACAATTTCGAAATTAACTGAGAACATTGTGGTTTCCAGTCAAGGCACTCATCGAAGTTAATGCCTAAATATTTTATGGGGTCACTGGTGTTCTTCAAAGTCTGGTTATTGTAAGGAAATAGAAGTGGTTCAATAGCATTCTGGCGATGGTGAAATCGTAGAATTTGCGTCTTATCAACGTTGAAAAATAAATCGTAATTATTGAAGTAGTTTGATGCAAAGGTTACTGTATCACTACACTTTTCGATCATAGATAACGAGTCAGGTGCAGATACAATCAAAGAGAAATCATCTGCATAAGCAGTATACTTCATTGTATCAAGAACAGAGTCAATTTGATTGACGTATAATATAAATAGTATTGGTCCTAAAATGGACCCTAAAATGTTGTAACGAGACAAATTGATTACGATTTTTCAGAAAAGAAGATATACAATTTGAGGACCGCCCCCTTATACCATAGTTTTCGAGAGACGATAGTAGCTTTGTGTGATTGACGCAGTCGAACGCCCTGCTTAGATCACAAAATATAACTGCAGGGCATTCGCCTGCCTCAATAGATTCAATGATTGTGTTGAACGAAGATAATAGCGCTGTTGAAGTTGATTTTCCCGCTCGGAAACCATGTTGGTTTCCACTCAGAATATAATTTCTTTCTATGAAATTTATAAGTCGATTCAAGAAAGCATATTCGAAAATTTTAGACATTGAGTATGGAACAGTTATTGGTCTGTAATTTTTCAGTATTCATTCAATTTTATAAATATAAATACAGGGGAGAGTTAACATTTTGTTTTTTCGAAAGTGGCCTCTACAGGAAGTTCGCTTATGAATCCCGAAGATAAGACGTATTATTTTTTTTGTAAAATGAACAATTTTGTTGAGAATCTACAGTTTCCCTATATTATGACGTTATAGGATAAATGAGAGTATGTCATTGCATACTAGATATTTATTAGTTGTTGTTGGGAGAATATATTTTTCAGTTGTAAGATTGCATAGTAGCTGCTGCATATTTTCTTAGAAATATGATGGGTACATGCTTGAAAAGAAAGTGATGAGTCCAGAAAAGTTCCAAGGATTTTTGTTGTCTCCGAAGACTTTAGGTATATTAATATTTTCAGTATGTAATTCAGAAGACGTGTTGGGATCATATGTTATGTTAAATTTCATAAGAACCGTTTTCCCATGATTTAGAATCAGATGATCGTTCAGACACCATTCAGTAAATTTATTATAAACTACATTTAAATTATCTGCCAGTTCTTCAGGTGAAGTCGTAGAAATTGACGTTTTCAGTACGACTTGAAAAGGTCCCGGACATTCAGACCTAAATTGAACCTGTAATGGACGTCCCCAAGACGTCGAGTGCTATATGAGAAGTAGTACCTATTTTGTGTTAATGAGCCCAGGAGTTTTAGGATGTATGATAAATTGACATTCATCATACAGGACGTGGACAAAAATTCTGAATTGAGAAAAACCTTCCAGTTTCCATCGTTAAAGTTGGAACCCCTTGATTGGATGAAAGTATTGAAGAAGAATATTCTCAGATATATTTATGAACACAAAAAAATGGATATATATATAAAGAAATACATTGAGAATTCGCATTCTCCATGTGATGAAAATATTGATTCTTTCTCGGTTTATTCAACAGAAAATAACTACTCTCCTGGCTATATGCCACGACGAATATTGAATTACATCTATTGAACACACACGATAAGAACTTGAAAACAAAATCTTCTGAAATAGAGAATTTGCATTCTTCTTCATATGAAGATATGCATATGATATCATTCTGAATATTCAACAGAGAATAACTACTTTTCTGGCGATTTGCCACGTCGAACATTGAATAATATCTGTTGAATATCCGAAAAGAGAGCATATGAAAAATCGTCCTCTGAAATTGAGAATTTACATTATCTTTCAAGTCGAATAGAATAATATGATGTATTATGATATGAAAATATAAATAACTTACCAATTAGTTCAGTATTGAAATGACAGGAGTATGTCAACAAATCATAATAATTCTCAAATGTCAGTTCGTTATAGTTTTAGTTATATTATAGGAAGATGAAAATTGTGTATATCATGAAGAATGGCTGAAAGAATATCTGGACTTCAGGTTACTGATGAGGATATGATATCCGAAATGATTTTTACTCGAGTTAAGTCATATAACCTATTTGTGAGAAATATAATTCCCATATCACTGATACGAATGATTTTTTTGGAAGTTCCAAGCGCATCAAGATCAGAGTTCATACAAATATATTTCTCCTATACATTTCAATTTTCATTTCAATACTGAACATATTGGTAAGTTATTTATATTTTTATATCATAATACATCATATTATTCAATTCGACTTGAGAGATGATGTTTATTCTCAATTTCAGAGGATTTTGATTTTTCATTTTCTCTTTTTGGATATTCAACAGATATACAATGTTCGACGTGGCAAATAGCCAGGAAAGTCGTTTGTTTCTGTTGAATATCCAGAATGATATCATATGCATATCTTTATATGAAGGAGAATGCAAATTCTTTACTTCAGAAGATTTTGTTTTCAAGTTCTTATCGTGTTTGTTCAATAGATGTAATTCAATATTCGTCGTGGCATATAGCCAGGAAAGTAGTTGTTTTCTGTTGAATAAACCGAGAAAGAATCAATATTTTCATCACATGGAGAATGCGAATTCTCAATGTATTTCTTTATATATATATCCATTTTTTTGTGTTCATGAATATATCTGAGAATATTCCTTTTCAATGAGCCCAAAAGTATCAAAAATTAAACAAAACCTGAAAACAACCCAGCGATTTTTTGATCTCGCACAGTTCTATTGGAGGTTAGCACATATTTCATGAACGCAAAACAATATCAACTTACTTCTGTCTCGCAGATCTACTTTATGACATAAAACTTTTATCTGTGATTCGCATAATTTACTGATACTCAAGAAACCATCTTCTACTTGGCATATCAGATCAATGATCGAGTTCGTATCAAGATTTCCAACAGTTCCGAGGACATTTTCTATCATCGACGTTAGATTATCTGTCAAACCAATTTCTGGAATTGTGCCATTTATACCGCTAATTACTCCTACGGCACCACCTAACCATTGACTATCAACACCACCAACACAACAACTCATAAAAAACGCACAATAAACTATTAGTTTAAGCATCGTATCATAACAAAAATGAGGACTGCCATGAAACTGCAAAATTGAATGTGAACTAAAGAATAACTTGATTGAATACCAAAACCTAGGTAGGTATTTCTATTTAATCCATTTGTTGATGGGGTGATGTGAGTAAAATCTTGACTAAATAAAGGTGATGATACTTCATTGTTTCCGCTATTGAATAAACAAAGATGTGTGCTTTTTGAGAATTACAGATTACAGATAATCGTATACCCAAACGGCACGAAATATTCAGCAAATATCACCACAATATTACAATAATGTTGCAGTTGCATGTGGAATGTTGCAGAAATCTCATTTGTATATTGCAGTTTCAATATACAAAAATGTTGCTGTAACGTCTTATATTATCGATGTTATCCATTGATGCTTCTTTAGTGAATATTATGCAATGGTTGTACATTTAAGGTACAATATCTAAGAAATGTTACAGCAATATCGAATTGTGGGAACTCAAAGGCATCAAAAGAGATTGATTCATTCAGTATTTTGGAACTACAACTTCTATTATTACACACTGTTTTCTTCAAGAATTCCTAGTTCTCATCATTAACAATCATTATATCTTAGAAGTATTTCTACAACATTCAGTGTCACGTTTTGGGGCGGAGATTTTAGAAATATGTGGAATATTCATGGAATATTTCTTCAACGCTCTGCAATAAACAAAAATTGAAATTCAGGAAGCATTGCTAACTGTGATTCTGATTAGTTAAAATGGAGTCCAATAAGCGTCAGAAAAAAAACATTCGAAATTCAGATTCAGAAGACTGATGAAGCATCATTAACAGTTTCAAATCCGAGGTGAGGCATATTCTTAAATATGATGGTGTGAAACTCATCAAAATAAACTGTCTTACTAAAATTCGCCTACACATTTTGGCCAAGATAAGTGCACAGAATGGGAATCTCGAAAACGAGATTTTCACTTATTTAGATGCATTTTCTTCATTTAATTTCTTTTTCTACGATATTCCTGAAGATAGAGTAAAACAGAATATTCTTTCCTGACAACTTCTGATACGATTCAACGTGGTGATATTGATTTCTCTATACAACGTTTCGTATTCGTAGAACCATCATCAACTTATTTAATACGGTCCTGCTTATGTGTTTTCATATTCTGAGAGCTTTTTCATTCTTTTCAACGTAGTTTGAATATGTTTCGACCTAGTATTTCAGTATATAATCAATGATTTTTCGAAATTCTAATTTAATCTGAAGAAAAATTAATCAACATTACAGGGATTTCCTTTCCTGTGCCCCTAAGGATTAAAAACAATACCTTATTGTACCTTATAATAATAACAAGTTCTTATAATAATAACAAGTTCTCCATATTTTTAACTGGGGTATAACAACTATCACTCATTATATTCAGCTAAAATTCAATGGTTTAATGGTTTCAATAGTTTTTCCAATTGTTTTCATGAAATAATTTGTTTTTTCTACTACTAGCTCTAGAACCTATCATTATTCACTTCTTTTCTAGGCGTGAAGTGTTTTTATTACCAAAGTATAGTTTCATTTATTTTATGAAACACTAGTCGATTAAGACATATGTATAGTCACCTCTGATAAAATTAACCCGAATTCACTGTTCTTATGCGAGATTCGCAAGAATAGTACGTGAATGATCAATAACGACTTGTCATATATGCTGTCATGATCATATGGCTACTAGATTTTAATCAGAATTGAAAAGAATTGCTTTAATTCATAGTGACAATAGGTCCATTTTTCAGTTTCACAGAACTATAGTGATTGAAATATCCTGCTAGTAAGTGGTGAAAAAAATTTAATATATATACCTACACCTTGGTAGTAAAGAATAATATTAACACAGGACCTTATACCCCTGGGCTGAAGCCTCGGGATTAATCTTGGTTTCCGGGTAATATTGATATTAAATAAATACAAGTCATTTCCACACAATGTTCATGAAATAAACAACAATGGTAAATTTCGGGAGCAAAACAACTACTTTCCTGGCTAATACCACGCAGAAAATTGAATTACATCCTCCCGAAATCTATGCATCGACTCGTATAAACGAATACTGATACAAGTGATTCTTTCCCGAATTCCTATAGATTTCGATTCAGCCAGGGCACGCAAGACACCTACAGACCGGTTTCGAGCTCTTTGACTCTCATCAGTGCAGGGCAGTCTCTAGCCAACAGTTCTAAGACCGTCGACTAAGCGTAGCCTAGCCAAACAAAAATCAAGTCGGTATGATATTCCCTCAGATGCGTCCCCTATAGATAATATGAGAGCAATACGCCATCTGAGTAGGAAAGAAGAAAAGAAACGCTCCAAAACCAAAATTGCCATACGGGAGCGGCTGGTTGCCCTGGCGTAATTTCAGCTACGAAATAGCCACAATGCTCAAAGTGGAATGGAATGTTAAATAAATACGAAAAGCCTAAAGTCATTTGTACACAATATTCATAAAATAAACAGCAATGGTAGATTTCGGGAGAAAAACAACTACTTTACTGATGGCTAATGCCACACAGAACATTGAATTATATCCTCCCGGAATCTATGCATCGACACGTGTAAAAGAATACTGATACAATTGATTCTATTGACAGTCTCCAGCCAGCAGTTGTAAGACCGCCGACTGAGCGTAACCTAGTCAAAACAAAAATCAAGTCGGCATTATATTTCCTCAGATTCTCTTATTGTTGTGATTCTAGGTTGAGGTCAGAAGTATATTCTGAAAATGCCAGATTTTTTCTAACTCTTCTAATAACGGGAAATTTCATCTTGAAAATTGAACAAAAAACAAAAATCAAGTACACGCCACTCCAAGACAATTCAAATGATTGGTTATGCGTGGTTATGCCTTCCACACGGAAATTTGTACAAGGATGACGTCAGATTTGCTGTAATGTAGAACTTTGAGTGGAAAAGGGGTCTCGTCCCAAATTTTTTTTCGATCCCTATATTTTTTTATAGGTGCCATATAGTATCACATTGAATGCATCAGTAGTTAGTGCTAATACTATGATACAAAATACACTTGTCACAGAACACTAATGGTGCATTTATGCAGCAGTCTTAACTTTAAGTTGTAAGTATTAGGTCATAGGTCTTGGGGAGTTCAGTCATTTGCTTCTCAATATAAACGTTAAAACGTTCATACATGTGTCATAAACAGTCATAAGTTTCAAGTCCTAAGAAAAGTTGGCCAACATTCATTTCTTACGACTTAAATCTTAGGACTAATTTGCTCTGCGCATAAGCCGAGAGCTACCATTTTCAATCTTGGTTTTACAATTTAGTGTATTATATGGTGTCAAAGGTTCCAGTCTTCGATATACCTTGGTTATGTTCGCATTTGTTTAAATAAATCCAGAACAGATATTAGGAACTGCTGAATAACAAAAATAATCAACTCTGTGTTACCCTAAACATGAATATAACTAATGAAAAAATAGCAAAAAGAGCTAATGAGGGGCAGCTTTTCTCATGGCATGACAGTCCCTCTGATTGCTGCATGAATCACTATATTTTCCCCTTCGACTTAAAACTTGAACTAACGACTTTGAACTTAAAACTTTAAACTGCTGCATAAATCAATATTTATGTTTACCCTGACACAACCTATTATTCTCTAGTCTAAATGCTAATTATATCACTAATACAGTGTTGTCATATTGCTATTCATTCTATTTATCAATAAGGTTCGTAGCGAAGAGGTAATAAGGTTTCAGGTTCGTAAAAATTCAATAACCAGATAATAGGTTCGCATCTCCATCGGAACAAGCTTTTCTTAAACTTCTTCCTTCTTGTTCAATATACTAGGAATATTCTTAGAATATTTAAAACAGTCCATTCCGGATGTTTATAGAACGTCCCTAGAATATTCGTATCACATTGTGAGAATATTCTGAGATTATTGAAATATTCCCTAAGAATATCCTATGGACGGTCTATTTTTTTTTATCGCTTGGAGCGCACGAAAGGGAATCCCTATAATGTTCAAAGAACATCGTGCGTTTCTAGGGAGGATAGGGACAGGAGGTAGGTATTAGAATTTTTTTTGAACTCTTGGAGATTATATGTTGTTGGGAATACTTCCACAGGCAATGAATTCCAGAGCCTAGCCGTTCTATGGATGAAGGAGTCTTGATAAAGTGCTGTTCTTTCGAGGTTGACAACGAAAGGATGTGCTGACTGGACTTGTCTAGTTCGTCTGATTGGTATTGCTAGTGAAGGGATGATAGCAGAGATTTCCGAAGAACATTTCTCGTGGAAGTATCGATAGAAAAGTGAAAGGTCGCCGACCTTTCTACGGTGTTCCAATGATGTCAGAGAGTGAGTGAGAGTGGCGTCACCCACCAGGCGAATGGCTCTTCTCTGGATGGAATCTAAGAGCATCAGCGTATGTTTTAGTGCTGAACCCCATATGTGGGAACAGTATTCTAGAACAGGCCGTATCTGCGCTTTGTAGATCATGAGAAGCTGTTGAGGTGTGAAGTAGCTTTTCGCACGGAACAAGAATCCGAGTTTTTGTGAAGCAGCTTTTGCGATGGATCTGACATGATTATCCCATGAAAGAGTGTTGCTGATGGAAATACCGAGCATAGATATGGTGGGCTTGGTGGGGATGGTGGAGCCAGACATTACAATATCGGGCATACTGAGTTCCGCCTTTCTAGAGAAAATGCAGGCTTGAGTTTTGGTGCATGGCATTCAACTAGGTTGTTTGTTCCCCAGGCTGTGATTTCTGCAAGATCTTCATTGACAGCATTGACCTGCCTGCGCCGTGAGTTCTTAGTTTCCTGGGAAGAAATGGGAATTCTGGAAGAGAACGCAGTATGGAGGGTACTATCATCTGCAAAGCTGTGGATGGGGCAAGTTGTTACTCCCAACAGATCATTGATATGAAGCAGAGGAATAATGTTGGTGCCAAAATTGATCCTTGTGGAACGCCGGAATTGATGCCAATGGTATCAGACGATACACAG